ATCCTCTATTTTAGACATATGTTTTCTCTAATAATTATTATATGTTTGTCTTTATTTATGGATGGATTCCGTTATGGACATTAATGGACTATAAGTTGTGATCCTCACAGTATTAATACTTTTGGGACAGTATGTGTTATCTTTGGAACGCATGAACATAACGATTGGCTGCTTGTGGAACGCATGGAACCCGGAAGTAAAGCATGAAGCTCCGAAACCGTAATAAAATGGCTGCGGCTGTAGCGGAGAGCTGGTATTACACAGCCTGTATTACACAGGATGTTGCCCTCTCGGTGACAGTAATCAGAAAATAGAAAAGGGAGTGACAGGTGAGGCCCTCTCTATGATACGATGCAAGGCTACTAGCTCACGTGTGGCCCGAGGGGTGTATGCCTCCGAGTATGAAGCGCGGTGTTGGCCTCGCGGGACCACTAATCCGAAGCGTAGTGTAATACCTATTGGCCCCTATCAACCTAATTGCCAGTACGCTATTTCTATTCCGGGGGAGATAAGGTATGTATATACCGTGTAAGCAGGTGTATGTACCTGAAAGTATGGTTTTGAAACCTGAGAATCCGTATAGGTTTCAGTAGTACCTGTAAACTAAATAGATGGAGACCGTATAAAATAAAGAAAATCTGGCACAAAACCAAGTTTACCTGTAGAGATCAGTGGAGATAATGTTTGTAAAATCTCTGTAAATTTATTAATGTACTTGCAGGCCTGTAGGTGGCAGTGTTGGTAAGCCCCCGTTGGTCTTGGTGTAGTGTAATATTTATACATTAAACATGCAATTGGGCCCGTACTGAGTAACTGGCTACTGTGTGATAATATATATGTGTTCGTATATTTATTGTTAGCATGTGGATTGAAAAATTAGATGTTTGATTGTTAATTTATAGGTGTCAGTGTTTTTGTAAAACCCCCAAAATTTATATTATATGAAGAGGTCTGTAGGTGGCAGTGTAGGTAGAGACTTTGTTGGTCTTGGACTACTTGATAAATGCAAACAAGTTTAAACCCCAGATCTGCCCGTTCGTGCGTTTAACCGCACAAATTGGCCATTACTTAACATAAGACATATGCAATGTGGCCGTTCGGGAGGATGTGAAAAGCCTGCTTACAAAGGATTGTAACCTGAGGGTTTTATACCCGTTTGCGCGTTTGAACCGCACGAACCGGCAATTACCTTCAATGTAAGAGACCTGCATCGCCTGTATCCGTTCGGACACATGCGAACAGCCTACGTATTCAGGTCTGTAAGTGTAGATGGGACACATTGCCAGTAGGTGTCTCCTAATAAGATAGTATTTCAGTCTAGATAATTATTGTCACAATAGGAGAGAATAAAACATATCTTTTAATGGCTATTATCTAAAATGAATGATAACACAAGAAGGGGTTAAAAACAAAGACCATAATTTCCAGTCCTTTTACAATGTCTACTCTTGCTGAACCAGCAAAAAAAAAAAAAACAACTCTTATCTAGCTGCTAAACTAGCAGAACGAGATAATTGTATCAAAATAAGGAGGACCAAGTGATGAAAAAAAGTATCTATTTACACAAATATATGCCTTGCAGGAAGGCGGTTGTCTTCTCAGTAAGCTGTACTCTCCTGCAGAAAAAGTCCAACAAAATCCATAGGGCTGCCACTAATAGGCAGGATATATTACATGTGTATCACCTAGTAACCCCAAGTTACAAGGTAAATGATTAACAAAAAAGAGAGGTTCTGTAGGAGGAGGGTAAGTGGTATTCAGTGATAGTGACAGGAAGGAGTGTAGCACGTTCCTATAGCTAAATGCAGCTGTTTAGTCTAACGTGCCTTCGTGGACACCCCTTATTAAATGTTTGCTCTGTCACTAATCCCCCCACCTGAGATTAGGGGCTCAGGACACCCAGTCGGCAATACTTATGTGCTTGATCAGCACTGCCGACACTCTGTCAGCTATCTCACTGAAAACGGGCATCCTGTGACTGAATTATTTAGTCCATTATTTATATGAATTCTCTTTCATTTATGATCTTGCTATCTAGTGGGGGGATTAGTGACAGAGCAGGCATTTAATAGAGGGGGCCCACGAGGGCACGTTAGGCCAAACAGCTGACCGAACTTCTAAAGGGACTTTTAAGTGTGAGTGCAGGAGGATTCTCTATTTTTTTGTATATTGGGTTTTTCTTGTGACACATGCGTCGCCATGGAGACGATCTATACGTCATCACGCTGATAATATTGTGTATATATGTAATGAAAATGTCTATTATGTTTGTGTTTGATCCTGATGAAAGTCCTCTATTTAGGACTGAAACGTTGATCGTCTTTTAAATTTTTGTATCAATAAATATAATACTTTTATTTCGTGAGTGCTGCTGCATATTTTGGACAAATCAGTTATAATTATATTTATATATATAATTATAATTGATTTTTCCAAAATATGCAGCAGCACTCACAAAATAAAAGTATTATATTTATATAATATAAAATAAATATATTTGTAAATATGTTAAAAAATTAAATTAAAAAAATAATAAAAAATAAATAAATAAATATATATATATGTGTAATTTCATTCTAACTGTATTTTAAAATTAATATATATATATATTGATATCAAAATACATGTAGAATGAAATAATATATATATATATATATCTATATACATAAGTATATACGTATATATCACTATATATATACCTATACATAAATAAAAATTATTTAAAAAAATTACATGTATATATAATAATTCTACATATATATTTATGTAATAATTTTACATAATTAGGTCATTTTATTAATTACAAGACACCATAAAACCTGTACATGGGGGTACTGTTTTACTTGGAAGACTTTGCTGAACACAAATTTTAGTGTTTCAAAACAGTTGTGGCGGAACCAACCTCGCCACTGGCCACTGGAGGAGCCTGGTTGCACACCTCCTGCCGCTGGACTATGGCCCCATGTTTAACACTGTTCTTTTTCCCTGCAGAAAGGCTGGTTTGTGCCTTTCTGCGGACTGTTAAAGTCTCGAACACCACTGAGCCGCCGACCTCCCTTCTCCTACCTGCAGTCAATTATCCGAACACTGGTCCATTCGGTACTTTACTGTTTAAACCATGCTACCCCAGATAGCTATGCCATGGAGCCCAGCCATATACTGAAAGACTGTATGAAAGACTTTGGCTCCATGCGATTGAACTGTATGTATGTGATCTGAGCGCCATCCAGTAATAATGTGCGCTCAGATCTAAGATATCTGGGGATAGGTAGAATGTGTATGTTCTATGTGATAAATGTATTTTTATGTCTTTTATTGTCCTTTATCTGCCATGTGGTTAATGGAGTTTTGCCTCTGTACTTGGAGATAATTGGATTACTTCCCAATTATCTCCAGGACAGAGAGGAGGGATTGTGATGCATTGTGGGATTCTAAGCTTGTGATTGGTCAATGTCCAATATGTTTCCCAGTTTTCCATCTGGTCCCCTAGGGGAGTGTCCACCAAGTGGGAGCCCTGCATAAAAGCCGGGCAGGTAGCCCCAGTAAATCAGTTCTGCTTGACCCTCAAACGAAGTGTCGTCTCGTTCTTGGGGGGAATTGGATTGTATGCTGTTACAGTGCGACTGCTAGGAGTGTAAACTGTTCGTATACACTCACAAACTGTGCGACTGCCAGGAGTGTAAACTGTTCGGCTGTTTACAGCAATCGTGTATTTCCTGTTCGGGAGTTTGGAGCATTCCCCTGGTTCCAGTTCGGGAGATTGGTGAATTCATGTGTTTGCAGTTCGGGAGATTGGTGATTGCAGTAGCTGTCTGTGCATCTGAAAAGGGGAATATAGCCTAAACGGTTTTTAACCTCTTGTGTGCAAAACGGTCCGTTACAACAGTAAAATGTATTACAACGATGATATTGTCAGTGAAAGTTAAATGTTTTTGCATTTTTCACACACAAATGGCACTTACATGGATGATATAATTGTTGTGATATATTGTATTGTTTTGAAACACTAATATTTGTATTCAGCGAAGTCTCCTGAGTATAACAGTACCCCTCATTTACATGTTTTATGGTGTTTTCAAAAGTTACAGAGTCTAATATAAGGCTTGCTTTCAGTTTTTTCACATTGAAATTTGCCAGATTGGATACGTTGCCTTTGAGACCGTATGGTAGCCCAGGAATGAGAATTATTCCCATGATGGCATACCATTTGCAATAGTAGACAACCCATATTGTAAATGGGGTATGTCCAGTCATTTTTAGTAGCCACTTAATCACAAACACATGCCAAAATTGGCGTTCAAATTAGTTTTTTGCATTTTTCCACACAAACAAATATTAACACTAACTTTGGCCAGTGTTTGTGTTAATACACTCTTACTGCTAACTTGCTCTTGCAGGACTCCTCGTGCGTGGCTCCCTTCCTTTGAAACAGCCTGCCTACCCCTTCAGACTCTAACCTAGTCTTCAATTGTTTAAGAAGTCCCTCAAAACACATCTGTTCAGAAATGCTTATGGACTCCCAGAGTAGCTTATCTATACTTAGCCAAATTTGTCTCTTGCTCTCCTAAAGAGTCATACTCCACTCTTACCTCCAGCTCTGCTACTTTTCCACCTTTGTGTGCTAGGGTTTAGGGTAAGTAATATTCTCAAAAAACAAAACAAAAAACACTTAAATATTGCTGATCTTTTTAGACTAATTATTGTTATTTCCAGTTTTCAGTTAAAATACCTCTTATGAGAAGCTTGTAAATTTAAAAAACACACATATACCCGGTCCACCCCAGGAGGGCAATCAAGACCCAGTAGGAGTGTGGGGCGAAACCCTACACACTGACGGGGTCCACGGCAACTCACCGAATATGGCAGTGGACACGTGTTGCCCTACCTCGAGCGACATAGAAAACAGGCTGGACAGACTTTTTGAGGCTTTTTGGCAGAAGCTGGAACAAAGAATGCACCAAAATGCCAGGACACAGCCCAGTGGTCTACCACAACTCTAGCCAGCAGCACAAGAAAATCGGCAGCCATCAGAGCTCCCTGTGCAGAAGGCCCAAATATGGCGGCAGGGCACAAGAGGAAGCCTACCTTTGAAACGCAGAAGAGGCCTCAACCCAAAGCCTGCTATATATGGCCGTGACACCACTCCGGCAGCAGGCAGCAGGAGGAGGAGGATAAAGCGACAAACACCTAAACCACAGAGGCACAGAGCTGCTTGCATCCACAGCACACCTATACTACATCCCGTCCACCTGCAGGGCCCAACTCCTCGACCAGCACAAGACCTCCCACGGATCGGGAGCCGGGGGGGAACCGTACCCAAGAGTGGAACCACAGCCGGGCACCCAATCCTACCAAGATACATGACAGACCTTCACTCTATGCGGCACAAACCTGCAAACGGTACACTTGGCCTCCAGGAACTATCACTACGAATCAGCACTCACCAGCAAATACGGACTACACTGCACCAGTCGCCAGACGGACCACTGGCAGCCCTACATAAACTGTCTTCGCATGGAAGCTCACAGCCCAGCAGGGGTATAGGTTGACTGACTGCACAACTGTGCTGGCACACCAGGCTGGCTGCCATGACAGACCACTCATCTTCCATTACCAGTGATGCATGGCTGTGATACGTATTTCTTTGTATTATCAGTTGATGTTTAAATGTTTTTGCTAACACAAGCTTTTGCTTTTCTCACTACTTATTCTCACATTACTCACACACTATTTTAGCTGGGTATTAAGTCTCCCATGCCAGGCCTCGCTATAACTCAGAAATGCAAACCCAGCAATGTATCTATTCACGCATAGAAGAGGCTTAATTGCTCAAATGTTATACTCGTTAATTTTATGTAATTTTCTCTCCAGTGACAACCAATTAATGTTAAGATGGAAGTAGGGCATGCAGAACTCTCCCACAGTAAAGTCAGATACTAAACGCAACTAACCTCCTTATGTATATGCCCTGACTAACACTATACTGCTGATTGACCCCCCTATCTATAAAATGGAGGCAAGGTTAGACAGCAGTAACTTACAGCAACACAGCAATTTATTGTGTATGTTCCACCGGTTATTATTTAATTTGCTTATGTTTTTAGTGTTTATCTCAGCCTGTAATGCAACTGACTTAACCTGTATTGTCTTTCTGCGCCATAAGCATAATTGATAGGCTCTTAGGAACTTTACCGGCTACTCATGAGGTTAAGCTTGTTAACTTACATAAAAATGTGTAAGAATACATGCCACTACCTAATTTGCATGCAACTGTATGAATACAGTGTTGTGGCATCCTGACGAAGCTATTGTTGATAACCCATTGCAGTTAATGCAAATAATTTATACTTGATTGGACATATTTGCCTGGCTTACTATGTTAAAACAAAAATGTGCAAACCCTTCATGCCACTGTTTAGCCTATGTTTAAATACAAAAGCACGCTGTTGTGGCGTATGACTATGCTTTGTAATCACCTGCACGACAAAAATAAAGAATTTAAAAAAAAACAAAAAAAAACATACATATAAAACAGTGCTAAAAATGACCAAAGTCAAACAAAATTGACCATGAGTCAGTGCTATATTTAGATACAGCCAAGATAATGCTTAAATTGACATGCAGTCATTATCTAACTAAGCTTATTCAAACCCATTACATTCAATATCTAACATTGTAAAAATGCATTGTGTACTCTGGATTGAGATGCCAGTCACTCAATCTTTAATGCACTACAACAAAAAGACTAAATCTTGCTGGGGACAAACTAAACGGAAATTGCTAAACTCAATAATATTTTAGGATTAAAAAAAAATGTAAGTGGTAGCAGCCAAATGTATCATTATTATTATTATTATTATGATATTTATAGAGCGCCATCAAATTCCGCAGCGCTTTACAATGGGTGGACGAACAGACATGTAGTTGTAACCAGACAAGTTGGACACACAGGAACAGAGGGGTTGAGGGCCTTGCTCAATCAGCTTACATGCTAGAGGGAGTGGGGTAAAATGACACAAAAAGGTAGGGATAGTATTAGACTAATGACAGTTGCAGAAGAGGAATCAAAATGGAGCAAAATGTAACTTTTAGTGATGCAATATGAACATTGGACTACAAAACGTCACTAAAATATACACAACAAAGAACACATATTTCACTACTGGAGGATTGCAAGAGGTAAAAAAAAGAATGAAATTTCAGAGTTATAAGACATCAACATTAAAAAGCTTCAAAAGTGGCTTTGATAATCAAGAAGTACCACATATTGAAGCAGCAGCAAACAGTCCTAAGAAAGCTGACTATATATTACAAAATGTTATCTTGGACATTGTACACGTGCTTTAAATGTATTACACAGTCATGATAAAAGTAGTCAGGAAAACAATAATATATGACGAGAAATGCAAAAAAAACAAAAAAAGTCACTCATGATGTGCTGGATGTGGCTGCCAGTGAATCATCCAGGACAGTTACTAGCTCTTAGATGTCTAATAGCTTTACAGGTCTATAGTAAATATTCTTGAATAAAACTAAGCTAAGAAAAAGAATTGTAGTTGAGTAGAGACCAAAGCAGAATGTAGCCCCATGTAGCCAAAGCACAGTTAGCGAAAAAGGGCCTTGACAGGGGTTAGGAGGCGGGCATAGGAGGAGGGAAGGAAGTATGGAGTTATGGGTAAGTAGGCTTTGCTATTTAAATAGGCAGCCATTTTAACTGAGCTCACTTCTAATTTCCTACCTGACCAAGTTTGTCCCGCCCACCCTCCCTATAGATATTGTTTATGGTTAGGGGATTTCCCGTTTTTTCACAGCGGCGGGATAGGGAGCTGAAGGAGAAGGAATAGGCTCCCTAGGATGAACGTGACAGATATGGAAAACTGTGGTCATTGGTGGTTGGTAGGTTTCGAGTCATGTCGGTGGCTCAGAACCTGGTGGGGTAGGGGTATCCGGGTATACCCCTGCCATGGTTAAATTTATGTTGGCACTTTAAGTTGGTATGTTGGAATAATGTTGGTATATGTTATATATATGTGTTATTTATATGGGGGTCATTGCCTTTTATATTAACAGAAGGAATCGGATGCGAGGGCGGAGTATGGGGGGCAATGACCCATGTTTATTTGTTAAATTATTACTATTATTATGTTATGTTGAATATATGGTTATTATTATTCAGATTGTTTAATAAAGCTGTGGACAAATTTTCCCATATACCCGAGTGTCAGTGCATTATTGGGTTAGGTATGTGGGAGGGTTGTCCTGGAGTCCGACTGCCCATATGGCGACTATACACCGGTCAAGGAACCCACTAATAGAGTTAAAAAAGGCTTAGATACAATTAATGTTAGATAGGGTTAAGGTTAGATAGGGTTAGAAATTGTGTCACAGAGGCATGGCAAAATTAGTATAAATAATGAGGCTGTACAATAAGGAATAAATGGGAGAATACACCATAAATACAAGCAAGTCACCTCTACTAGACAGTACAAATATGCTCAAAACAAATCTCCTAAAAATACACTTGTATTAAAAAAGAGGCAAAATCACAAAAACTTATATAAAGGTATAGATAAAAATAAAGCAAACAAGTAAAACAGCAAATGTAAAACACCAAATTGTAGTAGCACATAGTGAGTAGCAGCAAAAGCAAGAAGCTGTAAGGAATTTTTGCAGCAGCAAACACAAATGCTAAAAGCCAAACTGTGAAAGTCGTATAGCCACAAGCAGCAAACACAATGGTTTGAAATAGAAATAGAAATAAAATAAACATCTTGTATCCACATTAAGTAAGGAATGTATCGTAACACTGGTTAGTTATCCTAATAGAATAACTTTGCGGTAGTCTGGCCCAGGTCAGGGTGGCTTTCTTGTCCCAGGTGCCATGACTCCAAATTCAGTGTCAGAGAAGTCATTCCCAGGTCTTGCTCAGTATTTTCTCCCTGTAGGGGACTTAGATTTTTGCATCAATCCTCAATGCCAAACACATTGTGTTTGCTGGAATTGTACCAGAGAATTTGAGGAAGGGAAATGTGGTTCCTATATTCAAAAAGGCTTCAAAATCTTTGTCTAGAAATTATAGACCTGCAAGCTTAACCTCTGTGACTGGGAAAGTATTTAAAGGGTTATTAAGGGATTATATTCAGGAATTCATTGGGGAAGAACATTGTTATTAGCAAAAATCTGCTTTGTTTTATGAAACGTAAGTCATGTCAAAAGTAACATAACTGTATTCTGTGAAGAAGTAAGAATACCTATAGATCAGGGAGTTGCAGTGGATGTGATCTACTTGGATTTTGCCAATGTGTTTGATATGGTTCCGCACAATAGGTTAGTGTTTATACGAAAAGAAATTGGTCTACCCGATGGCCGAGAAGGGCAAGACAGAGAGTGGGCACCTGGAGCGCCCTGAGCTGGCCAAGGAAGGCAGAGAGCAAGCAGAACTTTACTTACCAGGAAAGCGGTTACAGGAATGGATCTCTGTTGTTCTGTGCTTCGTCTTGCTGTCCTACAACTTCTGCAGCCTCATCCACTATTTCAGCCTCATCCACTATTTATTTGTTTTGGGTCCCCTAAAATATTAGAAGGGCTAACAGTGCATGTGTGATTCAAATAAAAAAAATGATGGATCGGCGTTCAGATTGAGTGCACGGCACAAGTAAAAAAAAAGAAAAAAAAAAGGAAAATAAATACTTATTTTTTTACATATATATACTTTCTCAAGACAGTACAGGGAATGTCCTATATTTCTGACAAGGTGATCCTCACCACTTTTAATCTTGTGCTAAAAATTTTAGGATTATGTTTAAAATGTTCAGGTTGGTGAAATTCCCATGTTTCATTAGTTTGGGGTATGGAAAGATGATATTTCTGCGCAAACTTTTAACTCTTAAGTGCCAGTGCGGTGAGCCCTGATTCACCCATGTCCACCCACAGGGTTTAGTACTTGCACCGACCACCAGAGAAAGCTAGGAGTGTGTAATCCATATTAACTGTTTAAAGAATAAAAAGGTCACAGAATTGGTTAACAAGCCAACACACTGCTGAGACTGTTTGAGGCATTGCTAATGTGTGTTCTCCCTGACCGGTGGAGTTGGTTGTCTGTAGGTTAGTAGGTGGTAGGAAAATGTCCCTTTTTGAAGTGCACAAAGTGAGTTTGTTTATGTGTATAACATTCTGTTGGCAGGGCCGGATTAACATAGGGGCTGATGGAGCTGCAGCTCCAGGCCCAGGCCCATGAAATGGGCCCATTGATTTAAAATATATATATATTATTATTATTATTATTTATTTTTTTACACACAACTCATAGGGATTCCACCTGGCTTTTATTTTATTGGCACAGCCAGTATTTGAGGCTGCCTGACTGGTGCCAATATTGCAGTCATACTGGAAATAGGGGTCGCTGTGTGTGTAGAGAGGTAGGGATAGGAAGTTCCAGCATATCCTTCCCTGCCTATCTCTTCTCACTAATCTGCAGGGGAGCAGCTACATAGAGTCCAGACAGCAATTTCCACCCTGCAGAGACAGCCTACAGCTCAGGGAAGTGAGG